CCCCCCCCGGCAAATGCTCCCAATGAGCCCCACAATCAACAGCAGAGGAGCCCTGCACGCCTCGCTGGTCGGCAGCAGACCCCTTGTGACAACAGAGGATGCCCTCCTCCCATCACAACTACCTACCTAACTGACTACATACGTGCATGCATACATAACTAAACTACCTGAGCAGTACCTGCACCCCTCCTCCAGGCACTTGATCGCCACAGACTGCCAACCACAGTCACTCCTACTGCACAACTCACTGAACTCACCTCATTGACAAGCTATCATCATCAATATCACTAGTGTTGGGCAACCACTTCTTTCTTTTAGTCCAGAGAGTGCTCTGCTCTATAGATGGGCTACACTGCATGACCCCAGCACAAAAGCCAGCTCGTCCTCAACCACCTTCTTTACCACAGCAAATAAATAAAATCAATCAATCAATCAATAAATAAAATCAACCAACAGACAAACAATCCATCAGGGTCAGCCACCCTCTCCCTCCACGGCAGCCCTCTGCACTCACTCAAGTACAGAGGCCTCTCAAGACTACCCCTCACAGCTATTTATTAACATCTATCCACCTATCTATCTCCCTACCTATCCAGCTGTATCTATACATACATCTATCTCACAGAATCACAGAATTGCAAGGGCCCTCAGGAGATCATCTAGTCCAACCCCCAAGCTAAAACAGGTTCTCCTGGAGCATTTTACACAGGACTTCATCCAGGCGGGCCTTGAGTATCTCCAGAGAAGGAGACTCCACAACCTCCCTGGAGGGGAGTTGATACGGAAGACTTCTCAAAGGTATAAATTAATTTATCTAGGGTTTGGAGGGGCAGAAAGGGAACTGCTGGTTTTGTTTCCATTTACAATAATTGCGTCTAAAGATAAAGGTGATTTTATATTTAATCATTTTTCCCACACACACATTACATTTCTTATCACTGCAAGATGCAATATCATGCAACTGTGCTGAACACCTGGATACTTTTGGAGTAATATCCTAAGCAAGAACCACTATGCCAAAGCTTATACACCCATAAAGCGTTTAATGGTTAAGATAATGTGAACACTATGCAATTAAATGCTATATCTGTCTATATGGACCTACCTGTCTATCAAAGCTAATCTACCTCTCTATCATCATCTCCCTTACGCACACCACACATCATCATCAACTTTTACTCCCCAGCAGCCACATCATCTTTTGGATCCCCAGGTTGTCCAGTGAGCATAGTCGGGATGACGGCTCTGTAACCTTCCCTGGTACCCAGGTCGGGCGGACAGGCCCATCGTTCCCTGGACCCTCCCTCTGGCCTTTCCCATACTCGGGTGTCACATTAGCAGTTTCTGCTCATCCAGGACCCCCCCCACCATTAATCTGGACTGCCGATAAATGACGGAGGGCGGCTCAGTGAGCTCAGGATCCCATCCAGCCCCACCGGTTTGCGAGTGTCCCGGCGGCGCAGAGGGTTATAACCTCCTTCCTCCTGGATTAGGGGGGGGGTTATTCCACTCTCTGTCCCTGTCTTCTGGCTCGTGCGGCTGAGTGCCCTGGCAATAAGTGGTCAGACAACGAAGGCCTTAAGTACCTCGCCCTTTTCCTCATCCTTGACAGCAACATCACAGGGCCCCTAGGCCTGAAGGACGGACGGGTCGCTGCCCTCTCTGAGGCTGACCTGTCTCCCATGAGGGGTGGGAGAAGGAGGTGGGACGGGGCACTGGGAACACACGGGGACCTCGACGGCTCGATCGTGCCGGATCCCACTGAAGGGGCACACGCAATGCCTGCACCCAGACAGCCCCATGATGTCGCTCGCCCACGTAAGGCGCTGGGGGCGATGCCGTGCCCTGCCACCCGCACACCCTACGGACACAGCGCGGCTTTTTGCCCGGGCCCCGGC